TGGGGACAGACACCGCCAGGGTGGTAGAAGCAGCACGTATGGAGTAGCTGGGAACAGGAGTGGTAGCCTGGGAGCCCTGCCCTGGTCTAGTAGGTGAGGATGCCTGTCTCAGTGGCAGTGGGCATACAGGAAGCCATGCATGGGGGTCGTAAGGGGATTGAAGCCACTGTCAGGAGAAACTTCACAGTTGCTCCTGTTAACTTAGGAGCCCAAGGGACTTAAGGAGAGATGTGCTAAGTAACTGATGACCCTGGGTCAGGATGAAGTGCAGGGTCCCTAGAACTCAAGTAAACCCGGCAGTACAGGGGAAACTGGCTAGAAGAAGCTGCCCTAAGTGAGGGGACAGAGTCGTGAGGTGCTGGCCTATTGAGGTATAGTGGGGTCCAGCCTCTCCTGCATGTTGAGATGGAGCCCCTGCTCAGGGGTTGTGTCCTCTCCAGCCTTCCACTGACAAGCTGGGGGCCTGGTCTCCTATGTCTCGGGGTATGACTATGCTGAACGCATCCTCAGACCACCCCTGGCATCCTGGAAACCCTGCAGCCAAGATTTAGCTAGGCTTGGCCACAGCAGGGCGTGGGCCCTGAGCTCCCGAAGGAAGAGCAGAGTCCGAACCAGGTGCAGGCCTCCAGGAAACAAGAGAGAAAACAGATCCTGTGGGGGCCCAGAGACAAAGGGCACTCTTGGCGGGTTTACTTTGGAACCTGAGGCTCACTGGGTGACTGCTGGTGAACAGAGACTTCATTTGGAGTCTGGTTTCAGCACCTCCCCTGGGTGGCCCTGGAGGGAGAAACCACTGGGCCCTGACGGCATGAGGGCTGTGCAGGAGGCCAGCTGTGTTGAGACCCTTCCTAGGACCCAGGGCTCTTGATCAGGGCTTGGGACAGAGAGGGTGGGAGGGGCATGGTAAGTGCTTAGACACAAGAGTCCAGATACCTGTCCTCCTCTGCCACCTCTCACCCTCAGCTCCAGCTCTAAGCCAAGTCTCACTGGATGCACAACAGAATTTCTCAGGCCCAAGGGGCTGGGCTCCCAAGACAAGGTTGCCTCCTGGGAGACGCTTCGGTGCTGCACCTCTATCTCTGCCCAGAGACTTTGAGTGAAGCTGAGATCCGTTCCTGTGGGGCACAGCCAGAGCATCAGACCTTCCAGAAAGGACTCTGGGATCACCTCATCCCTTGTCCTGGATTTTCAGAGGAGTAAACTTGGGGGCGGTGTGGTGCTGTGGGTTAATGCACCAGACTGCAAAGCTGTTTGAAATGCAAGGTCGGTGGTTCAAGCTCACCAGCTGCTCCTTGAAAACCCTATACAGGGTCGCTATGGGTCAGAATCAACTCGACAGCACTAAACAACAACAAACTTGGCAAGTAGAGGAAGGGATAGGTTTACTTAGAATCCCCCAGGTCAGCATCTCAGCAGGTCTTAATTTTTTTCTGAAGTCAGACGAAGACCACTTCAGACTCATACTTTTCAAGATAAAATAAAATGTGGAGGATTCAAAAGGAGACTAATTATACTAAAACATAGCTATCCATGCTTAGAAACGAATTCCTGTTCGAGTCGTATGAGTATCTCTTTATCAAGATATTTAATAATAAGAGATCAAGCAAAGGGTATGATCATAAGAACTATAATTTGAAGTAGTGAGGAACATTCATTGTATTTCAGAAATACCTGCAGGAATTGTAATGGGATACAGAGATAGCTGCAGTTTCTTTTGGTCGTAGGTACTGCTGATATTTCAGGTTTGTTACATACGTGTGTCTATAATTGAAGGAAATACTGGATTTCAGTGAGAAATTAATGAGAAGCAGATGTAATTTCCCCCTGAATTCTTTCCCCATCCCTACAAGGGGCCTGTTAAGAGCCCCTGAAGTACATAAACAAGTAAAACTAATCTGTGCTCCCAACAGTCAGGAGAGCAGTGAGCCGTGGCGGAGGAATAGAGTGATAATGGGAAGTCCAAGTCTAGGGGTCTAAGCAGCTGATTCTGACTCATGGGGACTTGGTGTGTGTGAGAGAGTAGAACTGTGCTCCTCAGGGTTTTGGTGACTGATTTTTCAGAAGCAGATTGCCAGGCATTTCTTCTGAGGTGCCCCTGGATCGATTTGAACCACCGACCTTTCTATCAGCAGCCAAGTTCCCTAACCATTTGTATCACTCAGGGACTCCTAAGAGTAATCTATTTCTTGGTCTGGGTGCTCCTTGCCCAGTGTGTTCAGGTTTTGAAAAGCCACCCAACCTGTACATTCCTGATGGTGGTGGTATATGTCCTGGAGTCGATTCTGACTCTTAGCGACCCTGCAGAGAGTTTCCGAGGCTGTAAATCTTTACGGGAGCAGAAAGCCTCATCTTTTTCCCACTGGATAGCTGGTAGTTTTGAACAACAGACCTTGAGGTTAACAGCCCTGCTCATAATCACTACAGTACCAGAGCCCCTTTACATTCTTGATCTATGCACCAAATTGCATGAATGTTGCTGTTAAATGCCATCAAGTCAGTTCTGACTCATAGCAACCCTGTATAGGGTTTCTGAGGAGCGGCTGGTGAGTTTGAACCACCAGCCTTGCAGCTCAAACTGACCTTGTAGTCCAGTGCTTATCCTACAGCGCCATACCAGGACTGCATGGATAGTAGACTTCTGTACAATTAGTTTTTAATTGTGATTTAGAGCACATTGGTTCTATAAAACTAACAATGCTAGTCAAACACACATGCAGAAGAAGTACATACGAGTGTGAACACACCCACACGCTCATTCTGCTGTGTGGAGCAGTGAGCACCTGCAGGTCCCTAGGCGAACAGGCACAGATGGGTACAGTGAGACAGAGAACACTGCTTTAAGGAGATCATTACAAGTAAGAGAGGTGGCTTCCTGATATGACACAGCCAGTGATGGCTCACAGTGAGGAGAGCTGCCTTGCACGGACTGGATCACCTCCCCCACCCCCCCACCTAGCAACTTGGTGTGGCGCTGTAGGATTAGCACTGGACTGCGAACCACAAGGTCAGTAGTTCAAATCCACCAGCTGTTCCTTAGAAACCCTATACAGGGTCACTATGAGTCAGAACCGACTCAATGATACTTAGCAACAGTAATAAAAGGAATAATGACTTTATTGGGGTTTGGGGGTTTTTTGGTTGTTGTTGTTAAAAAAGCAAAACAAAAAAAAATTGCTATAATCTCAAAGAATACAAGCAATGAAGAAAGTTGAAAATTATCCAAGTTTCCCACTCAGCATTACGGTCGTCTGTCTGCTCACTCAGAGATCAAGGTAGACAGGGAAGTGCTTTTATAAAATGGGGATCCACATCTGCACCTAGTATTTGCAACAGATGTGCTCCTCTAGCCTTGTTTGAATGAAACAGAAGAGAAAGACAGTTGGCATGTTCTTAAAGTGTTCGTCTAGAGACCTCTCTCCTACATTCCATGCTGCTCCCTGCCCCCACCCCCTGGGACCAGAGGTGCCTTCTGAGGCCTGGTTGTGTTGTGTTTGCTCACTGTTTACCTGTCACTTGGCCAGGTGCCAACTTCACATCACTCCATGATACTTGGAGCCTGAGCTCTTTGTGGACCGTGTATGGGGTTGGTGACAAACGGCAGCTCATTGGGGTCATGGGTGACTCGTGTGATCAGTGCTGACCCTTGGTTGATAGAAAGGGACTCTCTCCTGGCAGAGAGATATAACAGGTGTCCACTCTGCCCTCTTAAACTGGTGCCCAGCCATTCCCGGTTTGATGTGGTCATTAACAGTGTCGCCTCCTGGTTGGTGTCAGTCGCTGGCTGTTGGTACCACATCCTGTGCTGGGGGGGGTGGGGCAGTTGTGGAGCACATTCTTCTGCCTTGGTGTCATAGGCCAGCATGTTCACACCAGGCCCCGAGTCATCAGAGGCCACCAGGGCCACAAGTCCCCAGTTCAGCATCACACACAGGAGCTGGTGAGATGTCCTAGTTGATGATGGTCACCATTTTCCGGCTCTGCTGTCACTTGGGACTCGCTCTCTTGTTTGTTCTGATTCAGGAGTTGAGGAGCGCAGGACGTATGAAGAGCCAGGGATGCTCTGTCAGCATTTCCCATCTTTGGAAGCAGATGGTTGTAGGGAGGGTGCTATACCATGGGGATGCCTTTGCAGTCCTCTCTGCAGGCACTGCGGCAGCTGTGGACACTGGAGTGCCAACATCTGGATGACAGCTGCAAAGTTGTTAACCAGCTGTTTCTGAAAGCCCACAGGATTGCCTGAGTATCGTTTGGGGCAGCCACAGGTGCCTCATCAGTTCCCACTTTCCAATCAGATATTGACACCTCATGTGCCCTGAGTGAAGTCTGGGCACCTTCACTCATGCAGTTGGAATGTTCCCCACACTCAGGCTGGGAACCTGCCTGTAAAAGAAGCCCTGAGTTTGGATGAGGCCCACGGGGCCTCTGGCCACATTCCATACAGCTCCAGCGTTCCCTATGGAAGGGGCAGGCGTGAGGGGAGGGCAGCACTTGGTACCTTCTGATACCCCACATAGTCTTTATCATCCATTCACTCACGTAGTCATGTTTAGGACCAGCTCTGCCAGGGATTTGGGATAAAAAAAGTAGAAGGCCTTTCTCTACCCCAAGGAGTGTCCCACCTCAGCCCAGGGTGTGTTGGCACCGGTTGTGAGAAGTGTCTCCAGGCATGATAACTAAGGAGCCAAAAGTCTCCTTTGGGGTTGAGCGGACCTGTATGAAAGTGTTTCAGTGACTCAGGCCTTGTTGTCTTCTTGCATACAGACATGATTCTTGGGATGTTTAGAAAGGGAAGAGTGACCTCCTGCAAGGTCCTGTTCAGACTCCACTGCTTGCAGGCACTGGGTTTATACATGTTTGTGTCGGCCAGTTGTGCCTGTCTGTGTCCTTTGTAAACCATGTCCATCTGTCTGTCTACCAGCACAGACATTCCCAGCGGTCGAGACCACCCAGTCCCTTGGTCTTGCATTCAGACTCACGTCTGTTGTCTGTGTATCTTCCAGCCTCCCCACAGGCAGCGTGAGGAGAGCCCGTGCCCCAGAAGCAGGATGAGAAGATGGCACACTTCCTGTTACCTCGGGGCACCAGCAGCTTCCGCAGGTTCACCCGGGAGTCCCTGGCGGCCATCGAGAAGCGCATGGTGGAGAAACAAGCCCGTAGCTCGGCTGCCTCGCAGGAGAGCCGAGATGGGCTGCCCGAGGAAGAGACGCCCCGGCCCCAGCTGGACCTGCAAGCCTCCAAGAAGCTGCCGGATCTCTATGGCAACCCACCTCGCGAGCTCATTGGGGAGCCCCTGGAAGACCTGGACCCCTTCTACAACACCCAAAAGGTGATGCCGCCCACCCTTCCATGCAGCAGACAGGGAGATGAGCTCTGTTTGGGCGGGTGCCCCTGAGCTTTGAGGGAATGAGTCATGAATGATTTACATTCCAGTCACCTCAATTTTGGAGTCCCAAAACATGAGGCAGGAACTAGGCAGACTGAGAGGCTGGCTTAGTGCTGTGAAGAAAAGGCAGGACAGTCACAATTGCAATCTTGCCCTCTTGTGGAGTAGCTACTTTGAGGCTGTCTGTGGTTAGATTTTTTTACCCCTAGAGGACTTCTTGAGGTCCCCTGGTGTATGAGTTAGAGTCAGGCTCTGGGTCTTGCCTGATGAGTGTGGGGTTCCCCTCTCCTTCCTAGTTGAGGACAGCGTGTACCTCCCACACCCCACCCATCTGGGAGCGTGGAAAACTCACCAGGGGTTGACCGAGCCAGGGTGGCTCAGGCTGGGCCTCAGCAACCTCGTCTCTGCACTTTGTTAGGTAGCAGTAGGCGGGCCCAGGACGGCCAGTGGGAAATCCTACAGGGTGGAGGGGCAGCAACTGCTCGAGGGGTGTTCTGCCTCTGTCCCTCCTGGTTGTGAGGACAGGAGGTGCCTTCTGACTGGGTCAGGGTGACTTGGGCATTCTCTCAGCATGAATTAGACTCAGGTGGCAAATCCCTCCCATCTGAGACCCCTGGCCTAGCCACGTCTCTCAGGATCCTGTGGCTCAATCCTACTCCCCACCAGTTGAAGGGCACACGGGACCCCTCAACCAGCTCTCTGGGCCTCACTGCTGAAAGAAGGTGGATTTGAATTTGGGTGAGGCTGGTACCAAGGAGGGCAGTGATCACATGACTGCAGTTAGTACCAGGCTGAGGAAGCACCTGAGGGCAGGCACAGGTTTGTGTGAGGGTGTGTCCCAGTGTGTGTCACTGTGTGTGGGAGCACAAGAGCCTGAGGATGGGCGTAGAAGACACACAAGTGTGTGTGTGTGTGTGTGTGTGTGTGTGTGTGTGTGTTTTTGTAGGTAAAACACCACCCCACACCTCAGTCCCTAGGTAAATGCAGGAAAAGAAAACTCATCCTTTTCCCTGCTTCAGGTGACTCCATTAAGGCCAAGGTCAGAGGTTGGGGTGACAGTTGGGTGCAAGATAGGCTGATAGTCACATTTAGGTCATGGTTGGTCACAGATGAAATAAGAATTGGGGTTGGGGTTATTGTGTATGGTGTGAGGCTGGGAGGTAATTCAAGTGGAGTTCTCTGGGATCCGGTAGGAGTCATGGTCAGGCGGGGACTCAGGTACTGGACTGAGCATTTAGAGGCTGGGGGCAGTTCAGGTTGGGAAGAGTCAGGGTCCTACCTCTTCTGTCCTTGAGTCCATCAGGAATGTTGGAACAGTGGGCCCTAAGTGTGATTCTGACCTCTAGCCTTCTGGGTCTCCTTCCTACCCCTCTGTTCCCAAAGACTGCTTTGGGCCTCAGTGCTCACCGGATGTGCAGTGGCTCTGCCTCCAGCGCTCGGTGTCTACTCCCATGCGCTTCTGTGCCATGTAGACAGTCTTCTGGAAGCCTGGGGAGGGAGCCCATGATCGCTTCAGGGGCAGACAGTAGGTCGTTTCCTCTGATCTGGGCTGGACCTGTCATGTGTCCTGGATGTCTACATTTACCTCATCCCTACCCCTGCAGCCATACATCTTGCCCCATGACCCAGCTCCCCCAGTCCCCAGTGTACCTGGTGGGGAGAAGGGGGAGGAGGTAGCATCAGTCAGCTTGGCCTCTCTGGTCTCTGCTGTGACATGTGGGTCATGAAAGACTCCTTCTTGTCAGAAATGCAAATTCTAAAACTAAACTACATCTCTATCAACCTGCCTTCCCCTAAATCTTACCTCACCCTATTCCACCATAGTAGCAGTGAGTGTCCACTGAGCCCTATGCTGGCTGCTCCCCTCTGCCTAGCTCATCCCTTGTTCCGTCTCTTCCTCCCACCCCACGCGACAGTCAGGGCCCTCACCTAACACCCTTTCTGTCCACAGACCTTCATCGTGCTGAACAGAGGCAAGACCATCTTCCGGTTCAGTGCCACCAACGCCTTGTATGTCCTCAGTCCCTTCCACCCCATCCGGAGAGCCGCTGTGAAGATTCTGGTTCATTCATATCCTTTGCAACTCACCACTATTGAGTGCACCGTCTCCTTCCTGTCCCCATCCTAGTTTAGGGCTGAGGGTGGTACTGATGCCCCGCAGGGGTCCTCAGGCAGGTAGCACAGTGGTCACTGGGAGCTGGATAGAAATGCAGACTCTCCGATCCTACCCCAGATGGTCAGAGCCAGCATCTGCATTTGAACTAACTCCCCAGAGGTTCCTAGTCACATGACTGTTCGGGAAACTTGCTCCGAGTCTTCAGGAAGAAGACATCCTAGAAGTTAGATGACTGAGGATCCTGGAAGAAATGAGGCTTGTGGCTGCTTCCCTGGCTCCGAATATCACCTCCCACTGCACTCCCTGAGCCCTCCACCCCACACCCACTGGCAGGGACCTGCAAACAGGTTGCCCGTGACCCCGCTGAGGAAAAGCCATTTCCCAATAGAGAGACCTCCAGTTGATTCACACGTGGGCATCTTCCAAGGGAAGCAACACTTAATTTTGATTAGGCGTTGACAAAATGTTTGCAGTTTCAGAGTCTCTCAAAGAACTCTGCTTAGCATTAAATTATATAAAACCACAGCCTAAAAATGCTGCAGTTTGCAATGATACCATATAATAAGAGACATGGATCTGTCTGGAGTCCCTAGGATGCTTTGAGCCTGGGGGGCCACTTTGCCTCCCCCATGCCTTTGCTCATCCTACTTCTTGTTCAGGCAGGGAGTGAGAATGGGTGGGGGGCACTTAATCATGGTTCTTTGGGAGGGAACCTCTCAGGGAGAGGCCAGAGGCCTTAGTGTCCGTGGCAATGCCTGGGCAGCCCCGTCTTGGACTGTGGCCACCAAGATGGATGCACACACAGTCTGCCCCGCTGCTAATTTCATCAGTGCCGCTGGGCTCAGGGCTCAACAGCATGACTAGTTATGGCTCTGCTGGGCTGGCCCGACAGGGCTCCCCAGGGGCCCCTCAGCTCCCTCCTCTGGCTAGGCTTTTTTCTAATGCCAAGACAAAGACTTCACCCAGTAATCTGTGGGCAAGGGCAGGAGGCTTCAGAAAAACAGTTACCCAGTGAGCTTTGGTGAACCTTAGACCAGATGGCTGCTGACAGATGAGGAGCTTTTTCAGTCCAGGGAGGGATGGAGTATGCTCCTTTAAGGCACCACTGCCCTCCCCTACTCCCCAATGCCTAGTCCTGAACACAGGGAGACTTAAAGGCGCTCCCTGTCTGATTTGTTAACTGCCTGAAGATACACAGGGAGAGCATCCAACCACACTTCTGTTCTTCTCTCCTCCAGCTCGCTCCTGCCTGTTTCATAGATCTCTGTCACGTGTCTGTGTCTGGGGGCCATCCCACATGCAGGTGCCCACTGTGTATCAAGAGGGTGGTCTCAGTTGGGGCAGACAGCATGGCGAGGAGATAGACTTGGGGGCCAGTTCTGTTTTACTTTGCGAAGTATGAGGTTCTAGATTTCACTCTGAGCCATTCTGCAACTGCTGCCAATCTCACTGTAGGTGTCGTCCACTTTGCTGAGGACAGCACAGCTCTTGCCTCCCTTGGGGATTTTCCAGCCCTCTATGAGTACGGTGGGGTCCTGGTATGGCGCTGTGGGTTAATGCATTGCACTGTAAAGCTGTCTGAACCACCAAGTTGACGGTTCAAGCTCACCGCCATTCCTTGGAAACCCGGTACTTGGTCGCCATGGGTCGGAACCGACTCGATGTCACTTAACAACAGTAAGTGAGTACGGTACTATAGGATAAGCTCTGGATTGCTAACCACGAGATCAGCAGTTCAAACCCTCCAGGTGCTCCTCAAAAACCCTTTACAGGGTTGCTATGAGTCTGAATTGACTTTAACCCACCGTGAGTGAAAAGTCAGCCACACAAGTAGTTAGCATTCCTGCCAGAGTGTGGCCACAGCCTGGGGAGAAGCACATGAGAGCAGGTGGGGAGGACTTTCAGTCTGAGCCTCACTGCAAGGGCGGAGCCTCCCTGGAAGCATCCTCCAGCTCTCACCTGGGGCTTCTCCTCCAGTATCTAACCAACCTGGCACTGTTTGGCAGCCAGGGCAGCCTCCAGGGATACAGCCACAGCCCCAGGGTTCCTGCAAGGCCATGGGCTAGGCTGTGGGTGAATAAGAGGCCACAGACGCAGGTGGGCAAGGGAGATGGTGGGGGCTCTGGAGTCCCCAGCCTGAGTAAACGGTGCACTGAACTGTAACTCTGAGGCTGTGAGGTACTGCTTCTACCTGGCAGGCCCTGCCCTGAGGTCTCTGAGCAGGCCTGTGTCCCCCAGGGCACTTGCCCCAGGGAAGTGGCTCAGAGTATGAGTGAGGCCCCATACCTGGCTCCTATCAGCTACCTGGACACTCTGCTATCTGGGGATGGCAACACATTGTAAGCCCACAACAGAACCAGTTACATCAGGGGACACTGAGGGAGAAGGGGCCTAGATGGGCAGGGTCTGGGAGCAGCCCCCTGTGCCCTGAGCCTTGCTACATGAATAGCAGCCGCATCATGAGGCTCTTAGGAAGAAGGGCTGAATCTCGAGCCCCACCCCAGACCTGCTGGAGCAGATTCTGTCTTTTAGCAAGGTCTCCAGGGATTCTTGTACACACTGCTCTAGGGCAATTGTTTTCAAATGTCAATCTGTAAGGGCCACCTCAGTCTCACCTGGGAAGCTTGTGAAACAGGCAGATTCCCAGCCTATTCCAGACCAGTGTCCTGAGAAATCTATAAGCTTTCCATACATTTCTTGTTCCTTCCTTCCCTCCTTTATTACTATTATCATTGAGAAAAGACCTGAAAATCTGTACCTAGGAAACTCTATGGAGCAGTTCTGACTGTCCTATGGGGTCACTGTGAGTCAGAATCAACACAATGGCACACAACAACATAACTTATAGACGACAAAATTCACCCTTTAACGTATCCAATTCAGTCATTTTTAGGATACTCTCAAGGCTGTGCAACCACCCAAAAACTAAAAATCATCAACATGTTGCCATCCAGTTGATTCCAACTCTTGGTGAACCTGTGTGTATCAGACTAGAACTGGGCACCATTGGATTTCCATTGGCTGTGGCCTTATGGATGCATCACTTTCTTCTGCGGCACTGCTGAGTAGATTTGAACCACTAACCTTTCAAGTAATAAGCTAGCACAAAGCATTAGAGAGTGCCATCACCAATCTCTAATTCCAGAATATTTTCATCCCCTGAAAGGAATCCCATTAGCAGTCACTCTGTGTTTCCAACGTGTAATCAGGTTTTATGTTTTGAATCATGAACTTTGCTCTCATTGTTGTATCTATTCAAACATCTGCTTGTTGGTAAGTGCCATTGAGTCAGTCCTGACTCATAGCGATTCTGTATAGGGTTTCCAAGAAGCGGCTGGTGAACTTGAACTGCCCACCTTGCAGTCCAAGCAGACATTGGAGTCTAATGCATTAACCCACAGCGCCACACCAGGAATGTGCAATGGCTATGTCCTTTAGAACAGCGGGCCCTTTAGAAAAAGCAGTCAGCAGGACCAAGAGAAAATGTGAAAGAGGGCAAGAATGCAGTGTGTACTCCCAAGGAGGCTGTCAACGGGTGGGATAGAATCTATAGGTAAGCACCCATCAAGGTGTTTGCAGATGTGCCAGCGAGTACATGATAAGTACTGTGGCTTTGCTCTGTGTTCCACACTTGTAATGCATCCCTGTAAAGTTGCCAAGAAAGTAAATATGAGGATGCAGAATTATTTTTTCCTATGTATTTTTGTTATAATTATGCAGAATGTGTTCCTGCAGGGATTAAATAAAAGAGACTAACTGAACTTCAAACTCCACTGCAGTCAGATTCAGAAGAGACCTCATGTTCACACGAAGGAACATTTTGCCTTCCTGGGTGCTCAGGATCTGTTCACAAAATCCTCCCACGTTTTTTCACCAGATTCAAATGGGCAATCAAACCACATGGTTTGGAGTTGTTAGTTTAGGCTTTTTTTTTGTTTTGTTTAACTCACTTAATAGCACAAATATATTAAAATACCCCCCACAGTTAATTTCTCTCTTTGGTTGGTTGACTCCCTGGGGGTTGAGGACTTAGCAGCCCAAGCTTCTGGCATTTCCCTACAACCAAGCAAGCAGTGTTTGCTGGCATTTTAATCATGAAATTGGCATGGCCCCTTTAAGGGGATTGGTTGAGGACAATGACAGGACAGGATTGAAGAGGGAGAGATGGCCTTTGCCTCTGCCCACATATGGAGTCCTAGTGTGGCACTGTAAGATAAGCACTGGACTGTCAACCGAAAGGTCGGCAGTTCACACCCATCAGCCTCTCCTTGTTGTTGTTGTTGTTGTTGTTAAGTACCATGGAGTAGATTCCGACTCATAGCGACCCTGCACAGGGTTTCCAAGGCTGTAAATCTTTACGAGAGCAGAAAGCCTCATCTATCTCCCACGGAACGGCTGGTAGTTTCGAACTGCCAATCTTCAGGTTAGCAATCCGATTCATAACCATATGCTACCAGAGCTCCTTAGCTACTCCTTGGAAGCCCTGTACAGGGTCGCTATGAGTCGGAAATGACTTGATGGCACTTAGCAACAACAATATGGTACCAGCTTGATCATAAGCCTGAAATGATTAGGCAATGCAAACTGCTGATATTGGCTGTGTGCTGGGCTCCACGGAGGGCTTAGGGGTGCTGGGGGCCTTTCTCACATCAACTGAGAGTCTAGTTAGGAAGAGATCACACACACACACATAGGAATGACTGGAGCTGTCCTCAAGGCCCGGGGAGCCAGGAAACGGCTTTGAGCTGCTATTGTGCCCTACTCTCAGCCAGACTGGGTCTGGAAAAGCTGGCACCCAGGTGGGCTGTTCCTGTCGTTTCCCACCATGGGACTCAAATGGGCTGCCTGCCCTGGCTCTTTCCTGGCTTCAGGTTGAACTGTTCGCTCACCTCTGTGCCCAGCTGTGTTTTCTGGTCCACAATGCTGTCCTTTGTCAGGATCAGCAGGGCTGTCTGATTTCTGCTGTCTCACTGCCTCTTCCAGGAAGCCTTCCTGCCCCACTCCCCCAGAGCCATCTCTGGCTTCTCATAGCATTCCATCTCAGAGCCCTTCAGGCTTGTTACTCTGACCCCAAGGCTCCCCAGCAACAGAGAATCCCTTTCCTCCTCCTGTGTGCCAGTCTCCTTACATTTTACAGACCTCTGTATCTCATCTGGAAAAAGGTTTATACTCATTCACTCACAAAAATGCTAGCAGTCCAAATCCACACAGAGGCACCGTGGAAGAAGGGCGTAGTGATCTACTTCCATATGGTTCCAGCCATTGAAAACCCTGTGGAACACAGTTCGGTTCTAACAGAGGGGTCACGACGAGTTGGTAGCTGGTCTTGTTTGGGGTTATCTCCTTTGGTTTTCATACCTGCCCTGTGGGTGGCAGAGTGGGCATCGGATAACATTCCCATTAAGCAGATGAGGGTCTGAAGAGCTGTAACTTAATGCAGGTTCTTTAGTCTAGAGGCAGGAGAGGGGACCAGGTGGTCTTTGATGTCATTGTATAGAAGTAGTGTGGAGTGGGGTTCAGGTGGTGTCCTGGAGTGGAACACCCAGGGGTCAGACCTGGACTCTATTTTTACCATCTTTGTATCTGTGTGAGTTTCCTATACCTGATGTAACATTGCCACTAACTTAGTGACCTCAAACAACATGACTGTATTGTTTTAGCATTCTGGAGGTCAGACTCCAAAATGGGTCTCATGGGCCAAAAGCAGGGCTGGGTTCCTTTCTGGAAGCTCTAGAGGAGAATTGTTTTTCTTACATTTTCCACTTTCCAGAGGCCGCCTACGCTCCTTGGCTGCTGGCCTTCTTCCATCTTCAAAGTTAGCAATGGCCAGTCTCATCTTTCTCAGACCTGTCGCTCTCCCTCCTGCTCCGGCTTTTGTTTATCAGGACCCTTGTGATTACATTAGAGTCTCCTGGATAATCTAGGAACATCTCCTCATCTCATAAGCTTTAGTCACATCTGTAAAGTCCCTTTTGCTATATAGATTAGCCTATTCATAGGCTCTTAGCACTGGAACTTGATCGTCTCTTAGGGGGGACCACTATTCTGCTTTGCACAATATTCTTTGCGCCTCAGTTTCTTTGTCCATAAAGTGAAGACAACACCCACCCTCCCATAGGTTGTTAGAAAAATCATATGCAGAAAACAAAGCCTGGTACCTCAGAAGGGCTTAATAAATATTCATTCTCAGTATCTTTACCTTCAAGTCTCAGGAATCGCCTGGGTTCCTCAGTAGATGGCTTCGCATTGGATCTGTGGGAATGGATAAAGGCTGAGTGAGAAGTTAGCAGTCCAGTGAGGAAAGCTTTGGGTCTGGGGAGTGTGTGTGTATGTGTGTGTGTGTGTGTGTGTGTGTAAAAGGGAAGCAGGGCACTAACCCTTGAGAAACGGGAGCTAAGCCTGACCAGGGTGACTCCCACAGGCAGAGGTGTGGGCTGGTACTAATCTGACAGACCCTGGTGACTGATGAGCTGCCCTGTGGTTAGAGAGAAACCAGGCTTTCTGGAGTCTCTGACATTTGAGTTGAGCAGCACTGTCATTTTAGCCTTGGTTTGACAAAGGAGGCCTCCCAAATCTTGATGCCCTCTCATCTCAGGTGAGAAGTGGGAGAATGATTGTGAATGGGGGCCAGATTTGGAAGGCAGAGTTTGTTTCTGAACTGGATTCCCTAGCAGGAGGACTGGAGGCTTGGAGAACACCAGCCTTGTTCGATTCTTTTTGGGCCTCACCCCCTCCACTACTGAGGCAGCTCTCAGAACCCTGCAGGAAGGTCACAGATTGTCCTGGCCTCAGGTCTGACTGCCCTAGCCTCCACATTGGAACAGGCCTTAGAAAATGACGGCGCTGTGGTGGGGAGGAAAGAGGCAGGCCCCTGGAGGTCAATTATTGTGGCTCCTAGGCAGCCTGTGGGAATCGCCCGTTTAGCAGCTGCCGCACATGGGGCTGGGGTGGGGCGTGGTGTCATGGGCCTGGGGGACTCTCAGGGGAGTGGAAGGCCCAGCCTCTTCAGTTAGGAGACTGGTGGGGGCAGCAGAGTGGCCCTGTTCCGGGCCTACCTCCTGTGATGCCCCAGTCAGGAGGCTGGGGTCTGCCCCTTGCTCCTTTAGGGGTCCTGTGGAAGTGAGGGAGGGGTGAACGAGGACAGCTTCATCTAGCTGTAAGCAGCTAGGACTTGCAGCTAATGAGTCAGGGACATACAGGGCCTGGGACAATTCAGTTTATGTCAAGGGTACACAAGATTGTCCCTGGACATTCTTGGCATTTGAAGAGCTCAGCTTTAGGGGTAGGGGGTGCGGGCAGACAGGTGTTACCACTCAATGAGGAGCCAGCCCTGTGCTCTAGCAGAGCTGCCCAGCAGTCTGACTGTTAAAGAGGTAGCTGCAGCCCCCTGACCAAGGGGTCAGGCCAGATTGGAGTCCGATTGGTGTCCCTACCCAGTGGGCTGTTGATGGGTGAGGAGGCCAGTGAGGAGGCAGAGGATGAGGGTGAAGAGCATGCACAACAGTGGGAAGCAGTCAGTAGAGTGGGGTCCCTGTCTCTAGATAAGTTGCATGTGTTCTGGAAGTACAGTACCCAGGCTAACAGCCAGCCCACCTGGCCTGCCCTCCTCTCCAGCATGGCTGTGGTAAAAACCTCTGAGGTCTGGGCTCCTCAAGGAACAAGCCCTCCAGGGAACCCTCCCAAAGGGATGCTTTCAAGTGTCTGCTGCTAATGCTGGGGAGGAGACAGGCCAACCTGTGGTGACAGGTCAGAATGGACTGCCCTCAACTGCCCAGTGTCTCTCCTTGGGGCCCCTGTCGTGTTGACCCTGCAGTGACCTCCTCACCCCCACCCCAGGTGTCTTAGCTTCCTAGTCCTGCTGTAACAGAAATACCACAAGTGAGTAGCACTAATGAACAGACATGAATTTTCTCACAATTCAGCAGGTTAGAAGTCCAAATTCAGGGTCTGGCTCTGGGGGCTTCAGAGATGTCCTTGGTCTGTTTCAGCTTCGCTTGTTATTCAGTGCTGTTGAGTCTGTTCCAATTCATAGCGACCCCATATAAGGTGTCTGAGGATGTAAGTTTTTGCAGTAACAGAAAGCCTCAGCTTTCTCCGAAGGCGCAGCTGATGGGCTGCTGACCTTGTGGTTAGCAGTCCAGTGCTTATCCTACAGAACCGCCGCACTCACATTTTAGCTTCAGACAGCTGGTGATCCTTGATTCCTTGACAACTTTCATATATATACCTTCTATCTCCTCCCGTTTGTTCTGGCCAATCTTTATATCACTTAGAACTGATTGGGTTTAAAACATACCTTGTAAACAGAACAAAGAATTGCCTCTTTCCAAATATAATTATATCCTATTATTATGTATAGGTGGAGTGGATACATACATACATGCATACACTGAGTCAGTTAGGACTCACAGTGACCATACAGGATGGGGTAGAACTGCCCCATAGGGTTTCTAAGGCAGCAGACTGCTGAATCTTTCTCCAGTAGAGTGGTTGGGGGGTTGAAACTGACAAAGTTTCAGTCAGCATCTGAGAGCTTAACCACTGTATTACCAGGGCTCCTTTCCACAGATATGTTGTTGTTATTGTTAAATGCCGTTGAGTCGGTTCTGACCCATAGCGACCCTGTATAGGGTTTCCAAGGAGCGACTGGTGAGTTTGAACAGCCAATCTTGCCATTCAAACCAACATTGCAGTCCAGCATGTTAACACCAGGACTCCACAGATATAGGACTTAGACACATGTTTGGTGGGGGCAGGGAGCACGTCAGATCTGTAACAGGCAGGATCCTGGGGCAGTGGTGGCACTGCTGGCCCCTGCATCGTGGCCTTTCCTTGACCCTGAACCACGCTCTTCAGCATGCTCATTATGTGCACCATCCTGACAAACTGCGTGTTCATGGCCCAGCACGACCCTCCGCCCTGGACCAAGTATGTCGAGTGAGTATCATAGGGTCTCTCTGCCAGCTGGCTCCTTCCCACCTTTACCGTGCCGTACCATGACCCCAAAAGTCACACTAGAAGAGAATTTTGCGTCCAAACTTTACGACTCTCCTGCTAAAGGGTCCTTGGCGCAGCCCCTCTCCTCTTTGGCCACTCCCAGCCCTGCCAAGTGAGTGGGGAACTGCCTGGGAGTCTACCCTGGGACTCTACCCTATGGGCACCCTGGCCTGAGGGCTTCGGCCTCTTCTCCCGCAGATACACTTTCACTGCTATTTACACCTTTGAGTCTCTGGTCAAGATTCTGGCTCGAGGCTTCTGCCTGCATGCATTCACCTTCCTTCGGGACCCGTGGAACTGGCTGGACTTCAGCGTGATTGTCATGGCGTAAGTACACTGCTGGCTGCACCAAGCTGTGTTGGTCACATGCTCCTCACTTCTGTGACAGGAGATGGGTGGAGGCCCTCCGCTCATCTGGTGGGGAGAGATGGGTCCAAAATAGCTCAGGCAGGCCATGGTGGTCAGGTCCACTGGCTCATCCTGGGCACCGAAACTGCCCTGTGCTCTCGGGACATCATTAAGACTGGTTTAGCATCCTCTGCCCTTTCCACCAAGAGAAACTAATATTGCTGGGCCGCTGTCTACAGTGACCTGATTCCAAGGTGATTTAAGACTGGAACTACAGTAAACAGAGTCTGTAGAAGTGAGTAGGCAGTCCCCACGACATATGCCATTTATACCGGCCTGTCCGCTGCCACCACCCCCAGACTCCAAGTGACACATCCGTGAGACTCCAAGTGACACATCCGTGAGCACCTAGGTGCTGCAGCAGTGGCTCCGACACAGTATGATTGTGAGAACGGTGCAAGACCAGGCCGTGTTCCTTTCTGTTGTTGCATTGAGTCGCTGTGAGTGGAAACAAGAAGTCACTCACATGATCCAGTGAATCCTTCCACCAGACGGAAAGGTTGACTGTAGGGGATCATGTATCCCTAATTAACAGACAAGAAAACTGGTACCCGGAACACACATTGAGTCCATCAGAGAGGAAATGTGCTCTCAGACTTACTGAGGCCCCACTTCCTTACCCAGGAGGATACTTATACTCACAGATGCTGACGGGGACACTCCACTCCGATGTCTCAGGGAATGGATGCTGTGGTCTGTTCAGGGGCTCCACCATGAAGCCCTTTCTGACAGCCTGTTGTGTGCCAAGAACCCATCCTCTGCAGGCCTGGACACTGCACATCAGCAGGGAGTAGGACTGGGTGAGGGCTGTACCCTCTGCAGGCCTGGACACTGCCCAGTTTCCCCACTGGGAGACTGGGCTAGGTTTCAGGGGTTCAGTTCATCTCCTACTTCCTAGGAGTCTTGCATTCACTGAATCGACGTTTTCATGGCAAAGTGTTCATTTAACCCCAGCCATGCCGTGGGAAGTTAGGAGGAAGGGGAAAGCTGAACCCTGCTGCTAGGGAACTTTAAAGCTTGGCAGGGGGGACCAGGTGGTTGGTTAGAAAATGCCTCCAAACCTGTTTCTATATAAGTTTTGTGTAAGTTGACTCAGCCCTCCATTTTACAGTTGGAGAAACAGCCTCAGAGATAAGGTGTTTTTAAGTGCCTATGAGTCAGTTCTGTGTCATAGCGACCCTGTATAGGGTTCCCAACAAGCAGCTAGTGGGTTTGAACTGCTGAACTCTGGGTTAGCAGTCTAGTGGTTATCTTACAATACCACACCAGAATTCTAGTGAGAAGCTCCTACTGCCACGACTGTGTGCCTTTGCGTCTGTTCTGACTCATAGTGCCCCTGTATAGGGTTTCTGAGGCTGCAAATCTTTACGGGAGCAGAAAGCCTCATCTGTTTCCTGAAAAGTGGCTGGTGGCTTAGAACTGCTGACCTTGTGGTTAGCAACCCAACTTGTAACCCACTAAGCTACCAGAGCTACCACTCTTCAAATGCAGTATGAATTTAGGCCTGGCCAGAGCTGAATGAGCAAGGGGGAGGCTGGTGGGAGAGGAGGGTAGAGAGGTGGTGGGCTGGGGGACAGATCATGGTGACCTTACAGGCCCTGGTCACATCGGAGTGTGGTGGGAGCCATGGTCTGACTGATCATTCTGGCTACTGTGTGGACTAGAGACTGCAGAGGGGAAGAGTAAAAACTGAGAGAGCAGGTAGATGTTGTTTTAGTAGCTGAAGAGAAGGGGGCTAGCTGGCAACAGGGTCCAAGAGGAGGAGGAAAACCATGGTGAGATTCTGGGTATATTCTAAGGGGAAAACCATCCGGAGACCCCATAGCAGTTTTTGACTTGAACAACTGGATGAATGGTGTTAACCATTTTTTGAAATGGAGAAGAACAGAGGGAGAAACTGGCCAGCGGACCCTTGGTGTGGTGCTATAGGAATAAGCACTGGACTACTAACCATAAAGTCAGTGATTCAAACCCACCAGCCACTCCTCAGACACCCTATACAAGGTCGCTATGGGTGGGAACCGCCTAGGTCGAACTTAACAACAAACAGCTGGTCAGGGCATGAGACAAATCCAGGTTGGTTTGGGATGTTTTCAATGTGAAAGAATCTAGGGAAAGATATTGAACAGGAAATTGGACGTTCCAGTCTGGAGTTAGGAAAACGGTCCCAGGCAGAGATAGCAATTTAGAAGCCATTAGAATATAGATGGCAGTGAAAGCTAGGAGGTTGGATGGGTCTCCTAGGAGCGAGTGTAGCTGGAGAAGATAAGTCATCTGGAGATTTCACTGTGGGACATGCCAGCAGCTCACGGTCAGGAAGACAAGGAGGATCAAGTGAAGAAGCCTGGAGAAAACTGGCCAACGATGTTGGAGGGAAAGCAGGAGAGAATGGTGCCCTGACGCTGACTCAAGAACGGGATCCAACTCAAACCCTGCCAGAAAGATGTCGAGTCTGGGGAGAACTGAGAATGGATTTGGATTTGGTAATGTGACGGTCAACGGTGTGGCATGCCTCTGATGAGAGAGTGGAAGGAGTGGAAATATAATAAGCACAAACATCTTTTTTGTGGACTGTAAAACCAAACAGAAAATAAGGTAGTGGCCAGAGGGGAGTACAGGGCCATATAAAGAAGGAGGTGACTTTGCAAGCTGATGAAATGATCCAGTAAAGGGGGAAATTTGATCATGTAGAGAGAAGGGGAAATTGCAGGAGCAAAGTCCTTGAGTTGGCCCAAGGGGGTGGGAGCCAGTGTGCTAGTGGAGGGTTGACCCTAAATGCAGGCAAGCAAGACAGACTTTCTGGTGAAGATGGAGAGCGATTGAGAGAGAATGAGTCTCTCTTCTGATTGCTTCGATTTTCTAAGTGCAGTAAGAACCTCAGTCATCAGCTGAGAATGTGGAGTAGGGAGGCCTGCCTGAGGTTGAGGAGAGTGGGGAGTTCTTCTCATTGCAGCCAAGAGAGTACAGCAATTTAGGGATGGAGAAGGGTTGCCAGATTCTGGGGTGCTTTGTGTTGTGGAGGGCTCTGCTCCATGGGACCCTGAGGGCCCATTGTCATTGGGAAAAGGCTTTGAGCCGAAGTGGGGACACCCACCATCTGCCTGAGCCATTCTACCCTTCCTTCCTGGGGCCTGAGCAGAGCTTACATCACAACAGAGATTCTCCAAGACCCCAGGGAATGGCATTAGCCAGGCTTTGGCCTTTCCTTAGGTTGTGTCTCCAGGATGTGCTCTGCATGACTCGGGCCTTGTGCAAGTCCTCCTATCCTGTCCTGTCCTGTCCCATGGGAGAATCCCAGCCTTATTCCCCATGTGGTCCCATGGGGGAACCCCTGACCCACACAGAATTCCAGAGGAGCAGTGCTTTCCTTTTCAAGCCTGTTTGGTGTTTGAGCCAGGGGCAGCAAAGCAGAACACATTTCTGAGTGCTACACAAACACGGCATTTCCCATAAAGCTGCTTAGACCCATCGGAAGGTCAGGGATTCCACTCTTGGCTGGATTGACGTAGCAGTTTTGATTGACAGTGATTTCTGGTTTGGACGATAAAAGCCAGTTAGTTGATGATTGCCTCTGAAAGGCACTCTGCTATAGACAGTAGAGGCTCCTAGGATAATTAATAAAAGAAGACTTTAGCAGTGGAAACACCTCCCCATCTGTTCTCCATTTTACAGATGGAAAAACTGAGGCTCAGAGAAAGACTACCACTTGCTCCAAATTATAAGATGTCTCAGCAGCAAAGCTGGGACTCGAACCATCTCCTAACTCATAACCATGGGATGGAAGGGAGAGATACTCCCCAAATGTGATGTTTCTGATCATATTTCAGCCCAACCCCTCATCCCACCCAATTAAGAGGTTATGGGAGGGCCAAAGGGGTTCAAGGAAACCTGCCAGGTTCAGACTGTGACTCTCCAGCCACAGCTCTTCCTGTGACCCCCCCTCCCAGCTGGGCACCTGCTAGTTAGCACAGCCTCCCACCTTCTGGGGTTGTTATGGAAACCAAACCTGGAGGGGAAGAGAGGGGAGGGCAGAGGAGAGGGAGGCGATCCCCGCCATAGCTAATGGGAGTTGCCTAGCAGCACTGGAAGCCTGGCAGGACATGTATTGAATGGGAGTTGGAGGGGGTCACATAGCACTAGAAAAAGCAAGGGGTCTGCCTCTGGACCCTTCCTCAGGACTCCTTCCTTGACCACCCAAAATTATTCCCCCTACACTGGGGTTGGTGTCATGGAGTACAATTCTCACTCCCCTCTTCCACTGTGTCAGAACCTATAATCCCATCCCAGTGGTCAGTTCCTGCCCAGCAACGGGGCTGTAGCTCAACTAACTCTCTGCTAAACACAGGTTCCCTCCTGCCTGGACACAATCGGGCTTTACAGGAGGTCTTAGTGAAGTCTGGCAGGGACTGGGCTAGGGGTGGAATAAGTGATGCAGTCCCCTCCCCCTACCCAAAGGAACCTCGTGAGGCACACCCTCCCAGACAACATGCCCTCAGAACCCCCTGCGGGGAGCACGATTACCATCCTCCCCATTTCTGTCACCAGCCCAACCTTGTCACCTTGGGACAGGCAGTCCAAGGGAGCCGCAAGGTCTATGAGGGGCAGCGAGAGAGAAGCAAGGAGAGCTTCTGGTTCTTTCTCTGGTCTGAATTCAGAAGAGGCAGCCTGGAAACCAGTGTCCTATGCAAGAATGAGCTGTTGACCCCAGCCACAAAGTAGACCAGTAGCAGGAAACAGAAACCCGGAGCTTCTAGCAGGCTGTATTCACGGTTTCTGTGTGACGGCAGCGCCAGCAATATTCCAGGCCCAGCTTGACAGTCACGTGGTAGCACCATGCCTGAACAGAATTGCAAGTCTGAGAAGAAGGTGAGACCTGAGGGTCTGAGCCATCACAGACACTAAAATAACCATCAGAAGTTGAGCAAACAACTTGGATCAATTTAAAGAGGGAAGTGTTGTTAAGTGCCTTCAAGTGGCTTCTGACTCACAGTGACCCTGTATAGGGTTTCTGAGGAGTGACTGTTGAGCTGGATCCATCGACTTTGTGGTTCAAACCAACCTTGCAGTGCTTATCCTACAGCACCACACCAGAAATCTAAAAGGTGTATGTTGTTGTTGTGAAGTGCCTTCAAGTCGGTTCCGACCCATAGCAACTCTGTATAGTTTCCAAGGAGCAGCTGGTGAGCTGGAACCGCTGACCTTCCAGTTCAAACGACTTTGAAGTCTGGCGCATTTGTTGTTGTCAGGTGCCAACGAGTCGGAACCGACTCATAGCGACCCCATGCACAGCAGAATGAAAAAATGTCCGATCCTAGGCCAACCTCACTACTGCCACCACACTCGACACCATCAATGATGCCACCTGGCAGATCCATCTCGTTGGGGGTCTTCCTCTTTTTCTCTGACCCTCCCTGAAAAAGGAGCCCTGGTGGTATAGTGGGCTGCATGTTCCGCTAACCACAAGGTAGAAGTACACATCCGCCAGGCACTCCGCAGGAGAAAGATGTACAGCCTTGGAAACCCCACCTGTGAGTTGGAATCGACTTTATAGCAGTGGATTTGAGTTTGGGCTTATATGGGCCAGAAGGGCTTTGGTGGTGTGTGGTGGGTTGTTTGTTGGGCTGCTAAATGTAAGGTCGGTAGTTCAAAACCACCAGCCGCTTGTGGGAAAAACATGAGGTGGTCTGCTTCTATAAAAATTTAATCTTGGAAACCCTAGGAAGTAGTTGCGTTCTATCGTATTGACTCGATGGCAGTGAGTTTGGGGTCTGTGGATATGGACAAGAGAGGTGATTTCTGTGCCCTGTTGGAAGAGATGGCTGCACTGACTGAGTCCTCCGCATGGGATATGGCGGGTAAGGAGAGAGCAGCAGTTCATGGAGCCTCATGAAGATGGAAGGGATTAGAAGTTGGTTTCAGCCCAGTTCCAGAACTGGATCCCAGGATACTGAGTCCCTTGACACCGCCTGCCAAGTCCTTTCCGTAGACCTGGCACAGCCTGAAGGTGGATCCGCGCACTGTGAGCAGAGCAGAAGAGCCTGGATGTTCACACTGACCAGCAGACTGAGTCCATCACACTGTCAGCCCACCTTGGCACTCACCCGGCATCACGGGGCTGCTGTCCTAAATCTGATGTCACTCAGACACCCAGGTCAGACACAAGACCGCACATCAGACATCCTGAGTCCAGTGCCCTTTGTTAAACATCAGACACCTTCGGTTAAATGTCAGACACCCTGGAGCCAAAGTCCTTGGTTAAATATCACAAGTTCGTTGTCTCAGTCCCAGTGGCCTTGGTCACACACTGTCCATCCACTTCTCAGACATCCTTTTGGTCATGTGACTCATCTGCTGCATGTCCTCACACACCCGACTTGGACAGACCTTCCCCCCCAGAGACTGACTCTTCCTACTCTTCCTATGGAGGCCAGGGATGAGACAACTTTCCAAGCTCTAAGTTCCCCACACCATTCATCCCCGCTGAACATCACTTGGGCCCAAGCAGGCAGATTCCAAGGAGACAGGTGCAAGGCCGTTCCTGTGGGACACCAATGATCTTGGGGTAAGACAGTGTGTGAATTTCCCAGAGAGTCTGGTGTCACCTGGAACCCCTCTTCTCCTTTCTCTTCTTGTGTTGGCCGCTGGCTGTGAGTAATCGAAGAGCTGGATATTCTAGCATCCTACCTTCTCATCTTCCAATGCCTGTCTTGGGAACTCAATGCTGTGTTGGGAGCCATCTTTACCTCATGACCCATGAACTCCTGAGCTGCTCTTTGCACAGAAATTTGAGGTTGGAAGGGACAGCCCTTGGAGACTCATCCACCCCCTCTCCCTGTGGTGGTCTTAGCCAGGGAATCAGGGTCCCAGGATTGGAATACCAGGCACATGCTGAATGTATACCTTCCCTTAGGCACCAGTCTACAGAAGACACAGGGGAAAACTCAGACTAGAAACCCACGTGCTTTCTCCGTCGCCTGAAGAGTTTCCCTCTTCATTCTGGCACGTCCCCAGCCTCAGGTCCTGTCATGCAGTTCCATGGCATGGAGACTATAGCGAGCTTTTTATGGGACTGTCCCAAGAGAGCTGCCTAGGATGTGGCTGTGTGGACTTCCTCACAGCACCCACAAGGAAGTGCCCTGTGCCAAGAGGGTCAAGCTCAGGAAGAACACTTGGGGGTGTCCTGGGATCACCCACAGCTCTCTGTGGGAAGGGGAGAAGGGTGAGGGCTGGTCGGGGTGGGCAGGCTCAGATTCTGCTTTGTAATTCCCAATAACTGTGGTTTGATTCTGCAGGTATGTATCAGAAAATATAAAACTAGGCAATTTGTCGGCTCTTCGAACTTTTAGAGTACTGAGAGCTCTAAAAACGATTTCAGTTATCCCAGGTAAGATGCCGAGGCTCTCCCCTGGAGCCCAGCTACAAGTGACTCTCTCTCTGTCTCCCCACCCCCTCCTCGTCTGACTGTGTGTCTCCTGTTGGCGTGTCGTCACTGTCTCGTGTGTGACTTTCCCCCGTTACAGATACACAACTGAATTTGTGGACCTGGGCAATGTCTCAGCCTTACGCACCTTCCGAGTCCTCCGGGCCCTGAAAACTATATCAGTCATTTCAGGTGAAAATCAGGTTAAACGCCAAGGCTGCAGAGACATGCCCGGCATCCCAGCCACCTGGGAGCCGAGGCGACCACCAGGAAGGCTCCTTCAGATGTGCCTGTCACCAGAATACCTTTCCCAGAGCTTGGGCGTGTAGGGGCTGTGGGTGGTAGGCACATCTGTTCCCCCAACATCTTCGCCAAATGGGTTGTTCATATTGCTCACCCTTACAGACATGCCAGGGGAGCTCAGAGCCCCCCATGGGCAGGGCCTGCAGTTAAACCAAGCACCTCAAGATAAAATGCCAAATTCTCCCCAACATAGTCTGTTTCTTTTCCAAACTTAGCTCAACCATTTGAGTGGCTTAAAAGCCTGTACATGAATTGCTTCGACCCAAAGCATTTTCCTGTGATGAGGAAACCCAAAAAACAGTGTTTAAGGAAACCCACATACACACTGAGAAACAAAAAAAGAAAATTCTAGCACTGACTTTCACGGTTGAGTGCCCGTTCCCTGCCCTATGATGATATATGCTCAACAGGAGCCCCAGCCCCCCTTTGTGAAACACAGCGTAATCTGTGGACAGGTGTCATCGGGCCTTGGCGTCTAACAGCCCTCGCTGCATGGTGCGGTAGAAGTTTAGCAAACCATGCATGGTAGCCTCAGGAAGAAATCCTCCTTGACAGATGTTGGCAATTGTACCTGAGAAATCGAAATCCAGACGGCCTCCCTAGAAAGCCGTTCCACCTTATCCATCCACAAAAACTCTCAAACAACTTATGATTTCCAAGCTCATGTTGTGTGGCATGCTGCTGCCGAAGCCACATGCCACCCAGGAGACTTGTTTTATCTCAAGTATTTATTTACTTTCCCTGATTCAAGTCCAAGCTCAAAGGCCTCCCTGCTGTGAGGAGCTTGTTCATAGAAGGGCTTTGCCCAGTGGCTCCTTCGAGAAGCCTTTTCTGAACTCATCCACACTCAGAACCAGAGAAGGCACTTCTTTTATGTTGGTGGCTAGAGACAGGTTGTGTGCCACCGTCTAGGAAAGTGTTAGAACTAAGAGGACCCAGTGGCTGCATCACCTCCTGATTTGGAAAGTAGATGGTTCCCTAGCCCTTGGCCTGCATTAACTGTCATTACACCCTTGTGCTATTCAGAATCCTGCCCCTGCAGGGTTAATGAACTTGTTAAGGAGTTCACATTTAGGCTGCGTTCAAACTGAGTTTCAGAAATATGCTTGTAAGAAGCCACTTGCCCCTACTAAATGTTGTTAGTTGCCACCAAGTTGATGCCAACTCATAGCGGCCCCATGTGACAGACTAGAACGTCCACTATCTGGTTTTCTAGACTGAGATCTATCTAGACACATGCCCAGATTTTTTTTTTTTCCCATGGAACCCCTGGTGATGGTGGTGTACCGTGAAGTCGGTTCCGACTGATAGCGACCCTGCACACAGGGTTCCCGAGGCCCTTTATGGGAGCAGAAAACCTCATCTTCCTCCGACGGAACAGCTAGTAGTTTCAAACTGCTGACCTTGAGGTTAACAGCCTGACTCGTAACCACTATGCTGCAGGTTCAAACCAACCTTTCAGTTACCAGCTGAGAACTTAACCAACAGAGCTCCTTGTCCGTACAGCCCCCTTTCCTCCCATAAGTAGCCCAGGTCCCTGCCAAGAGCCAACAAGTGGAGTAGTGGGACTCGACACTCCCTGGAATTGCAGCCATTGAGACAGATGTCACTGGGCCTTGGTGCACATCTTCATGTTCACCATCCACACAGTCCATCCGCTAGTGTCCCAGGCACAGCCTGTCAAACACCCAAGCTGCCAGAGTGTGGATACACACACTTACTACAACACCTAAGAAAAGCTCTGTTCTGGTCTGCTTCATAAGAAAAGCTCACTAAAGAAAACATTGCCCTGGGGAAAAGGAGGAACCACCTCTGCCCCAGCTGCATGGGATTTCTTCAAAGCTTCCAGCCATGAGGGAGCAGATGGACAGACCCCAAAAGAGAAATAGGTGGTGATCAGCATTCTGGAGACCTTTCTGGAGGAGGTGTCCTCCAAGCTGGGTCTGAAATAGCCTTGGTCTTCCCTGGACCCCAGCTTCCTTCCCCTTAAAGTGAGAGTGAAGTCCGAATGGTTGCCTTCCAAGGGTCATTTCCAGCCCAGCCTGTTAGAACATCAGTGGCAGAGAGGGTCTGGAGTCAGTCTGGACAGAAGTGAAATCTTTCATCTATGGGAGAAACCTTGCGAAGTGGACATCACCTGACTTCCCTCAGACAAAGTCAGGAGTTGCATCTTTGAGCCTCAAACTGGGTAACTTTGGCCAGCGATGCTGCAACCTAACAGTGAGGTTGAGTCCAACTGAGTGTGTGAAGCGTGCCCGCCTTTCTTCACTTTGTTCCCCTCTCTGTATAGATAGGAAGCAAGTGTACCTGGGTCTTGAGACCCGTGAGCAGGGCCAGTCTCGTGACAACACAGACCAGTCTAACCCTGTGCCCGATCCCTGCAGGGCCTGCCCACTGCCAGGCAATTGCCAATATCTGCCAGGACAATTTCACTGGGAGCGCTGATTGCCTCTGAGCCGGAGCGGGCAGCAACATCACAGCAACTCCCAAAGGGTGCCTTCCCCTCTCTTTGGTTGTGTGCCCACTGCTGCTGCCCGGTCTCTGGGTCACAGGCATAATAGCCACTGGTGCTCCTAACACATTAACCGGCTGGACGATGGATGGATGGAGCTTAATCTGAGATCTGGCCGCTTGGGAGGGCTGCGGGGGGCAGGGTCGTGCTACCGTGGAGGAGCCCTGTGGTTCCTGATGCTCTGCTCACACTGGTCACTGGTCATAGACAGTATCCATGGGCTAGCCTGAACGTATCTACACGTGCTTTTCTGTCCCTTTGCTGTGTGTGCTGCTGGCTTCCACAGGAGCTGGGCCGGGTGACTAACAGACCACAGCCTCTCAGCTTTGGAAGTGTGGTGGGTGGGGTGGATCCAAGAGGGACAAAGCAAGTGTGGAAGATGCAATATACGTCAACCCCTCCCTTGCGTCAGAACTTCCCTCCAAGATGGGGCTCAAGGACAGAACAGGCCCCTTAGGACATTACCTACCATGGCCTTGACAAACCCTTCCCATAGCCCCTAGTGCACACGGCAGTCCCATCCGGGCTTGTCCCCGGATCCTGGGTCCCATTGTTTTCTCCACCGCTCAAGACCCCTAAGTCCAAAGAGAGTGGATGGAGGACCCCTACTTCATTTCACCACGGAAGCTGAAGCCTCACCCTTGCCCTGGGTCTGACACTTGCAAGGGGTGGAGTGTCCAGCTTTGGAACCAGCCAGAGGGAGACAGACTTCAAGTGTCAGTGGATTCAAGAAAAGTAGCATCTTTCAGACCCATTTATGGAAAGGAAAGTAGAGGGGACCAGGACCCCCTTTGAAGGTACTAGACCAGGACAGAATATGAGAGGCTAAATGATAGGGGGTTTTGACCTTAAAATTCCAAAAGAAATTTCTCTCCCTTTGCCCCCAGCCCAGCTCGCCTCAGGACCCCTGAGATGACCCCTTGCTCCTTCTCACCTCCCGCAGGCCTGAAGACCATCGTGGGTGCGCTGATCCAGTCCGTGAAGAAACTGGCTGACGTGATGGTCCTCACAGTCTTTTGCCTCAGCGTCTTTGCCCTCATTGGCCTGCAGCTCTTCATGGGCAACCTGAGGCACAAGTGTGTGCGTAACTTCACCATGCTCAATGACACCAATGGCTCTGTGGAAGCTGACGGTCAGGTCTGGGAATCGCTGGACATGTACCTCAACCATACAGGTGTGAACTCACTCTCTGCCTGACTGGACACCCTGTGGTCCACTGAGGTCCTTGGGAGATGACCAGGGCGAGGCCACATTCCACACAGAAATGATGTGATTAGATGGAGAGTCAGATGGGGAATAGACGTGGAACTGGCCCAGGAGTGTTGGGAATGGTGAGGAGATGCTGAGGTGTGGGAGCGTAGGGTAAGGTAAGACCTGGAGCTGAGTTGTTGGTGAGACTTCAGAGTGGAGGCTTCACCTGCTGGGTGTGGGAATTGCCCCGTTGTTCTTTGTCTGGGTGCTAATGTACCCCCATCAGAGGGTCAGGACAAGCTGAGCAATTGTGCAAAGTGGCGTGAACCCCTCTCACTGCCTCACTGGCCCCCCATAGCTGGCACTTCCCTTCTCAAGGCTGATGGCTGGCACTGATCTTGACCAATGCCAGTGTCTAGCTCAAAGGTGGGCACCAGTGCCAGACCAGGTTTCAGGCCACAAGGGCACATTCTGAGGTCAGAGCCTCTTGCATTAAACCAGCAACCCACTTTGGAAAAAGAAACATAGAAACACAACGAAGACATTTGCATATGTGTTGCTGTTGTTGTTGTTAAGTGCCATGGAGTTCGTTCCGACCCATAGCGACCCTGTATAGGGTTTCCGAGGAGCAGCTGGTGAGTTTGAACTGCCGACCTTGCAGTTCAAATGGCTTTACAGTCTGGTGCACTAGCCCACAGCGCCACACCAGGATTCCCACATATGTGTTAACTATAGACATGTTGAAGGAGCTCTGGTGACGCAGCAGTGGTTAATAGCTTGAATGCTAATCGAAAGATTGACAGTTTGAGCCCATCAGCTGCTCCAAGGAGAAAGATGTGGCAGTCTGCTTCTGTAAGAATTTACAGCCTTGAAAATCCTATAAGGCAGTTCTACTCTACCATAGAGGATCACTGTGAGTTGGGATCAACTTAACAGCAGGTAACAGGGCAGTGGTTCTACAACGTCACTGTCACCAGAATCCCTGGAGGGCTCTGTGTCTCACCTGGATGAGCCCAACTTCCTCTTTACCTTGCTATCTGAACAGACCAGTGTGTTACCACGGTGACTGTGTTGTTGTTGTTGTGTGCTGTGGAGTCAGTTCCGACTCAAAGCAACCCTGTACAGGTATTCCGAGGCTGTAAATCTTTACGGGAGCAGAAAGCCTCATCTTTCTCTCACGGAACAGCAGATAGTTTTGAACTGCTGACCTTGCAGTTGGCAACCCAACTCGTACCCACTAAGCTACCAGAGCTCCTTACAGTGACTGTGGCAGGTCTCAATTCTGCTATTTTATATACAAGAAAGTGGGTCCAGAACTTGGCACTAGGCTGCCAAGCCACTCAGGGACTCACTCAGCAGACAAGTTGGAACTCTTCCCAAAGCTCTGCCTCTGAGTTCAAGTCCTCCCTTGTCCCTTGTTGGCCTCCTGAGTGGTTTGGGGCAGCTCCCCTGTGGGGACATCTTAGGCCCTGCTAAGGACTTCCTGTGTCCTCCAAGCACTTGGGGGACCCTGGTAGCTAGAGATATGGGGATAAACAGAAGGGATGCAGCCCAGAAAGCCTATGTCCTGGCAAGGCAGAAGTGTAGGAGGCAGGGCAGAGGCAGAGAAGAAGGACCACCATCTGCATGCAGGTAGGAAACCCAGGATTCTGAGCCACGTGTGCCCCTCACCATCAAATGTCTCTCTTGCAGACAACTACCTACTGAAGAATGGCACTACCGATGTGTTACTGTGTGGCAACAGCTCAGATGCCGGGTACGGGGCGCCCACCTGTTGGGGTGGGGTGTCTCCTGGTGATTTCTCCACTGATGAGTCTTTTATTCATGCTCCTGACCCTGGGAACAGTGAGCCCTGTCCCTGCCAGGGTCTGTAGGATTCCCCACTCCCACCCTCCTCTCAGAGGAGACAGCTCCGAAAGGAGGGCTGCCAGGACTCAGAAAATGGGGCGGGCTGTAAGGCAACCCCAGAGGCCGCACAGGGCTCTCTACCAGCCCAACCCTGGCTCCAAGCTTCAGGGCTTCACTCCCTCCCCACTTGTCTGTCTCTCAGTGTGGACTGTCCTCGAGGGCAGGCAGGTTCTGAGTAGGGTCCCCAGAGATGTCCACTGACCCTGTGAAGCTTTCGGGGTTAATAGGCTGTGGCATGGGTTATAGGAGAGAGGAGCCCACAGACTCACCCTGGTTAAGTGTACGCTGTGGAGATGTATTTCTGCATTTCTGAATATGAGGTCCTAGTGTCCAGGTTTGCTGTCTCCTTGCTGTTAAGGAGAACGTCTAGAGGGTCTTGGGGCATTAACAGGTACTGAAGCCTCCTGGTCTCTTGACTGTACCCTTCCACATGCCAAGTCTATCTGTTTCTCTCTCACACACACATACACATACATGCGCACCCTTTATACATGTGACTCCAGCTTAGAGCTCCCTGTTTGGGAACCTCCACTTCCATGAATCGTGGCCCTGCGGTAACTGAACCAGTGCCCCAGCCTGCCTGCCCCTACCCCAAAATCATTCTTCAACCACATGGCCTTTGCACTTAGCTCCATCCCATTCAGCCCCAGCCTCCCCACTTCCCTCAACATGTTCCGCTCCCGATGGAGTAGACAAAGGAAGAGATGGGTACCAGGCCCTTGCATGGGGTGTCTTGTGGGAAGAAGGGAGCTAGCAGAATACAGGTAAGTGGAGAAAAGGGGAGACAGCATCCCAGTAAGAGGCACAGCATCAGCAAAACCATGGACACAAGACCCGGCAGTGGGCACTAGGCTTGTGCTGAACTGTCCAGGGTGATGAGTCAGGCCCAGTGGGGATCTTAAGGCCTTCCTATAGCACAAGACAGAGTCTGTGTGTCTGACCACAGGACATGTCCTGAGGGCTACCGGTGCCTAAAGGCAGGCCAGAACCCAGACCACGGCTATACCAGCTTCGACTCCTTTGCCTGGGCCTTCCTTGCACTCTTCCGCCTGATGACGCAGGACTGCTGGGAGCGCCTCTACCAGCAGGTATGTGTGTACTCAGGCCAGCGGAGGGGCACTAGGGTCCAGGACTGGGCTGCACAAGCTACTAGCCAGAAAGGGCCCCAGCCGTTTCCTCACTGGCGGAGTTGTGCGGGGGGCAGTGCAGGACAACGCCTTCATTTTCCTTTCCCAGTGAGGACAACAACTGTCCTTAGAGTGGCAGTGGGGGGCGGGGAAGTCCAGCAAGAAAAGAGACTTCCTTTTTACTTCTGACCAAGAATCCATTTATATGAAACAATCCTTTCTCCATGAGTGGGACACTCCTCCACACTCTAGATGTATATTTTTTAGAAACCTACTGCCATCAAGTTAATTGTGACTCACAGTGACCCTGAATGGAGATTCTGAGACCTTATATCTTTATGGGAGCAGACAGCCTCATCTTTCTCCCAAGGAGCACTGTTGAGTTTGAACCACTGACCTTGCAGTTAGCAACAAACCACCTAACCATTGCAAAATCCTTCCTGTGGCATGGCACATTTGCCCCCACTCTATATGTAGGTCATACTCCTCTCTGTGTTGTTAAGTGCCATCAAGTCAGTTCAGAGGAGTGGCTGGTGGATTTGAACCGCCGACCTTGAGGTTCAAACTGACATTGCAGTTGAGCGCTTATACTACTGCCACGGTGGGACAGTCCTCCCTCTGTAAGACAGGACGCTCCCCTGTCACCAGGTGGGAAAGTCTCTACCACCCAGGTGGTGGCTGTGTGAACTCCAGCATTGTCAAGCTGGTGACTTGGAAGAGACCTTGTGAGAATGACCTGGGCCACTTTTCTCTCCCACCTCCCCCCAGACCTTAAGATCTGCAGGGAAGATCTACATGATCTTCTTTATGCTTGTTATCTTCCTGGGCTCCTTCTACCTGGTGAACTTGATTTTGGCTGTGGTCGCCATGGCCTATGAGGAGCAAAACCAAGCAACCATTGCTGAGACAGAAGAGAAGGAGAAGCGCTTCCAAGAAGCCATGGAAATGCTCAAGAAAGAGCATGAGGTGGGTGAGCAGTGCAACCCAAGGGCCTGCAGACCAAGCCCACACCTGACAAGGCCTGTGGGTACGGCACATGCTGGGGAAAGCTGGATCCTGAATGCGTGGTGCATGCTGGGGAAATCTGGTGATACCTGCTGATTAAAGGTGTCTGCTGAATAAGAGTACTCTTTATAAGCATGGCTTATGCTGAGCAAAAAAAATTCTACCTGCTAGTTCAACAAGATGCCTGTTCGTGAGGCTCCTGCTGGGTGAAGGTGGTATATGCTGGGTAAAGTTGCCCCCTGGAATCCTGACATCTTCTAAAGGATAGGGGTACCAGCTGGGTAAAAATGGTGCCTTCAGGATGAAAGTACTGACTCCTAGGTAAAAGTGGTCCCTGTGAGCAGAGTGCAAGATGGTTAAACTTGTATCTACATGAATGTGAGTTTATCCTGGTCAAGGGCTGCCTTCTGGTGGGGCCGTGAGGAAGTCCCAGAAATAATGCCCTGGCTCCCCAACAGCTCCCCACTCAGGATGCTGGAAGCCAATCACAGACCAAGCCTGTTAGAAGCCAGGCTCTGGGCATCTACCTTAGTTCTCACTGCCCCACACCACCTCCCTGAGACTCTTCTTGGCCAGCAGAACCTTCTGGAGTATCCCCTGTCCTCAAGTTCCACTTCATCTGCTCATCAATTCTCCCTCTACCTGCCCTACACACTCCCACTTCCCTAAAGGCTGCTTACTTCATTCCCTCCTGAATCTTGATCTTAAACAATCCCGCATCTCTCTGAATTTACCTGTGTGCGGTGCTCGTGTTTTGGGGTTAGGTACCAGCCCATTAACGTTCAGAATTTCTCCTCTGCCTTAGCCTGCGGCTGCACAGCCTCACTAACTAAACAATCCCTTCCTTCACCTCTTTCCAGGCCCTCACCATCAGAGGTGTGGACACTGTGTCCCGCAGCTCCTTGGAGATGTCCCCTTTGGCCCCAGTAACTGCCCACGACAGAAGGAGCAAGAGGAGAAAACGAATGTCTTCAGGGACGGAGGAGTGTGGGGATGGCAGGTTCCCCAAATCCGACTCAGAAGATGGTCCCAGAGTAATGGTAACCCCCGGCTGTAGCGCTGGCCCTCTCAGCCATGGTCATGTAGGGCGCCTGGCTTAGATAAAGTCCCCACTGTGTATTTATTCCCCAACATCTTTGAACTACCCTCCCAGCTCTGCCTGCATCCCATGGTTTTAGGCAGCAGGGCAGGACAGATTTGGGTGTTATGCTATTCCCAACCTGGGACTGAATGTCCCAGCCCTGGAGCTGGAATTAGGAGACAATCCCATGGACAAGGACATGCCTACATGAGTGAGGGAATAAGGGTGACTTCTCAGGTCCTACTGAGACCCGACCTGCCGTAGCTATGGTCTACACATACCACGAACCTTCCTGCTTCCTTGTCCCCTGCCCAACCTTAGTCTCACCCTCAGGCCCAAATAAGCCTCAATCTCAAAGCCCCAGTGGCATTGACTTCAGACAGGGAGAGATCCCAGGAAATGCAGGGTTGCCTCTAACTGTACTCCCTCCTCTGAATACTCCTTGGCTCAACCCACCCAGCTCCTGTGTGGCAGGCAGAAGCCTTCAATGCCCCCAAGATGTTGAGCTGGGGTTGCTGCCCCGAGGGCTGGGTTGAGAGCAGTGAGAACCCGTCTGGGTCACACCTCCTCTCCCCATGCCCCCAGAACCGCCTCAGCATCACCCACGGTCTCAGCAGGACCTCCATGAAGCCACGCTCCAGTCATGGGAGCATTTTCACCTTTCGCCGGCGGGACCTGGGTTCTGAGACAGACTTTGCAGATGATGAGAACAGTACGGCGGGGGAGAGCGAGAGCCACCGCACCTCACTGTTGGTGCCCTGGCCCCTGCGTCGGCCCAGCACCCAGGGTCAGCCTGGCCCCGGGCCACCAGCTCCAGGCCACATCCTCAATGGCAAAAGGAACAGTACCGTGGACTGCAATGGGGTGGTCTCCTTGCTGGGGACAGGCGACCTTGAAGCCACGTCTCCAGGGAGCCGTCTCCTCCGCCCTATGATGCTGGAACGGCCCCCAGACACGGTGAGAACACCCTCAGTGCAGGTACCAGCCCAGAGCCAGCTGGTCTCCTAGCTAGGCGTCAGTTGCCAGGTCCAACAACCCTCACTAAATATTAATTGAGTGCCTATGGGGGTCCCTGGGTTAATATTATCAGTTAATGCACTCAGCTGTGAACCAAAAGGTTCGAGGTTTTGAGCCCACCCAAAGTTACCACGGAAGAAAGGCATGGTGATGAACTTCTGAAAGTAGAGTTGTCTCCACAACAGCTGATTTCTGTTTTGTTTGTTTGTTTACTGTGTGCTGGGCTCTGGGGTGAGTAAACTCACCCAATCCTCACTGTCCTCTTAGAGCTTCCATACTAATGGGGCCAAATAGACCAAAAGGAAATAAAATCATGGAACAAATATGCATACACACATCCATACTTCAGTTTAGACTTAGATATGTGTGTAATGGTGATAAACAAAACAAGAGTTAATTATTTAGCAGTTTCTAAGGCACAGGCAAAGAGCCCTAGTGGCACAGTGATTAAGTACCCTGCTAACTGGCAAGTTGGTGGTTTGAACCCAGTAGCAGCTCTATGGGTAAACAGAGCTGGCAGTCTGCCCCCATAAAGACTGCAGCCTTAGAAACCCTCTGAGGCGGTTTGACTCGGTCCTAGAGGCTCACTAGAAGTTGCATCAACTCGATGGCAATGGGTTTGGTTTGGGTTTGGGGACAACAGTTATTATGCAAGGTTGAAATATTTTAGTATTTTGTCAGCTAATAACTCAACATGGCGTGGTGTGGCACGGTGGGATAAGCCCTGGAACTCAGTGGTTTCAGCTCACCAGCTGCTCCTCAGAAACCCTCCATAAGACAGCGATGGGTCAGAACCAACCTGACAGCACTTAACAACAGCTCAACATAAACCTGGGCAATAAGGGTTAGGTTTCTGAAGAGCAGCTGGTGGGTTTGAACTGCTGACCTTGTGGTTCACAGTCTAATGCTGATCCTGCAGTACCACACCAGGGTGTGGGGAGCAAAATGAAGGCCTAAAGGAGGGGAGGGCAGTCACCATGCTGTTTTTGGAAACTCAGAATCTGGAGACCAACTGGGTTTGAATCCCAGTTCACATCTAACTAGCTAGATGGCCTAGGACACACTGCAGGACTTCACTGTACCTCAGGTCTCGGCTTTGTAAAGTGGGTATAAAATGCCCATCTCAGGATTGGTTGTATTACATGTCAGTAAAGCATTTTGGGCAGAGCCCGGGTGCTGTACATAGTACGAATGTTGATGTATTTAGAACATCATCATAGCATAATGTCCTAATCATTCAGAAGAAACATGTTTTAGACAGGAATAACTAGTGCAAAGGCCCTGAGACAGAAGTGTCCAGAGCCTGTTGAAGGAAGTACCATGAGGTTAGCTGCAATTATTGTCAGAATGGTAACAAGAAGGAGCAAGCCAGGTGGTGAAAGGCTAGCCCACTGACAGACTAGTGGCTGCCCAATCAGCCTCCTAGTGTCCTTGCTGCTCCCTGCCTCCATGGTCTAGAGTAGCCCACCCAGGAAATTCCAACTGTGTGGCATAGATTCCCAGGCCACCTGCAGGGTGATGGGGTGGGGGTGGGAGCAGATACTGAGGAAGGTGTAGGTGAGTCTAATGAATTTCTGTCCCTCAGTACCTGGGTGCTGCAAATGGGTAAATACTCAGCTACTATTGGCAAGTTTGGCAATTCTAATCTACCCAGAGGTCCCTCTGAAGAAAGACCTGGAGATCTACTTCAGGTAAAAGTCAAAGACATTGAAAACCTTATGGAGCTCAGTTCTCCAATGGCATGCCGGAGTCACCCCATTTGGAATCTACTCAAGAGTAACTGTTTATTGTGGAAACAAAGATAGTAAGCCACACCATTGGGCTGTGGAGCGGACTGTTGTTAAGTCTCTTCCAACTCAGGGTGACTCCATGTGTGCAGAGGAGGGTTTTCAAGGCTGTGGCCTTTCGGAAGCAGATCCCCGACTCTGTCTTCTAAGAAGCCTCTAGGTGGGTTCAAACCATCACTCTTTCGGTTGGTATTCTAACCCTGAGTTTGCAAGACTCAGGCCCCTTGTGGTGAGGACTGACAAAGTGAAAATGGGCCAAGTGCTTAGACTAGTTCTTGGTTCATGTTAAAGTTATTATTAATACTACTACTGCCTATCCTGGAGTCCTGGTGCGGCGTTGTGGGTTAATGCACCGGACTGCAAAGCCGTTTGAACTGCAAGGTCCGTGGGTCAAGCTCACCAGCTGCTCCTCGGAAACCTTGTAGAGGGTCGCTATAGGTCAGAATTGATTTGATGGCCCTTAACAACAACATAAGGAGCCCTGGTGTGGCGCTGTAGGATAAGCACTGGACCAAAACATTGATTTGAACTGCAAGGTTGGCAGTTCAAACCCACCAGCTGCTCCTGAGAAACCTTATACAGGGTTGCTATGAGTCGGAACCGACTTGACAGCACTTCATAACAACGTAAGTGTTATTAGCCAGCAGGAAGGAGTGCAGACTCCTGGGATACGTTGCAGAGTGGTAGGGAACTCACATGTCTCTGGAGCTGGGAGTGGTGGAGGGGGGCTTGCTGGAAACCACAGGTAGGAGGGAAGATAGCCACTGCTCTGGAGGGGCAGCAGAGGTCGGGGTGTGGCTCCCTAGGAACACCAAACCTCCATGGCTGCCGGCTCCCCCACAGGCCTGCCCTGGAGCTGAAGCCTGTGGACTCATGGCAGCAGCTGGAACACTAATAGAATTTCCTAATCTCATTAGGGATAAAACCGTCTCATTGTGCTGCACGTGGCGGGAGGGATCTGAGTTCAAACACTTCATTACCCGGAATTCTGACTTCACCCATTCTCACTTCTGTGGAGCCTGTTTGTTACCTTAAAGAGATTAGCAGGCCAAGAAAGGGTCATTTGCCAAATTAAAGGAATTATCGGACCAAGATGGAGACATGTGAAAAAGTAAAGAGATTAGCAGGCAGTAGGCTCTGGGGAATGCCTTTCTCTGCTCCCCAAATCCCCCTTGAGGCGTCTCTGCCCAGTTCTAGTCTGAAAAGAAACAGCAATGTCTGTCACGTACCACCTCCAAAACCACCAGCTGCCATTAAGTCAGTTCTGACTCATAGCGACCCCATGTGTGTCAGAGGAGAACTGCGCTCCATAGGGTTTTTCAGTAGCTGGTTTTTTGGAAGTAGATCACAACTAGACTTTTCTTTTAAGGCAATTTTGGGTGGACTTGAACTTCCAACGTTTCAGTGAGCAGCCAAGTGCATTAACCAGTTGTATCACCCAGAGATTGCTGGCGCATGTTGTTAGGTGCCATCGATTGGCTTTCAGCTCATAAAGCCTGCCCCATACGGTTTACTTGGCTGTTATTCTTAAGGAAACAGTTGTTACTCTTGTTAACTGCTGCCGAGCTGTTTCCAATTCATAGCGACCCTGTGCAGGATTCCCGAGGAGTGGTTGATAGGCTTGAACTGCCAACCTTGTGGTTAGCAGTTCACTGTTTATCCTATGGTTCCACACCAGGGTCTCTATGGAAGCAGTTGTTGTTCAGTGCTATCAAATCAGTTCCAACTCATAGCAACCCTGTATAGGGTTTCCTAGACTGTAAATCTTTTTGGGAGCAGCAAGCCTTATCTTTCTCCCATGGATCGACTACTGGTGAGCTAGAACCACAGACCTTGTGGTGCACAATCCAGTGTGTATCCTACAGAGCTACTGCACTCCTGACTTGATAGTAGTGGGTTTGGAATTTGGGCTGGAGGCAGGAGGATGAAGATTTGCTTTATCTCCTGCCTGTATAATGATGCCTGGTCACAGAAAGCTACATGGGGCTGAGGGAGGCAGACTGATGAGCTATTTTTTTTTCCTTCCGCCAAATATCAGGTCTTCACCCTTATCCCTTGGTCATCTGACAAATTAGAGGTAGAGCTGGAATGCCTACACAAACCCCCAAGTTGATTTGTTCCTCCAACGAATATTCATTTAGTGCCTGCCGCATTTGGGAGCCAGGCAGGGTTTGAGGCTCTGGAGCTACCGCAGTGAACAGAACACAAACTCTCCACCCTAACTCTATCTGGAATCCTCGGGCTCTGCCACCCTGGATAGCCCAGGTCCATCTCTACCCTGAAGAGATTGTAAGTCCAAGATCTCATCCTCCTGTGTTGAACAGCCCAGTTCCTTCCACATCCCAACCTGGGCACACGGGCTGTGGTCAGGCATGGCCCAGTTGATGGAAAGTCATTGTGGGCCCTCTTTGGTTCTAGGAGGGGCACTAAATAAACCCAGAGAATGCCTGCTTGCCACCATCCTTCATCAGGTCATGCTAGAGCTCTGTCTTTGGTCATGGTTCCTGTTATGTATAAAACCGGCACATGCACGTTGAAAACGAATCCAACAGTACAGAAGTATAAAGTGAAAAGCGAACTGCTTCCTTTCCTTCCTCTCCCTCCACAATCCCATTCCCAGAAAGACGCACTTTAACAATTTGGTGCACACCCTTCCGGATCTTTTTCTTATTTTTCCATCAAGCAGTCTGTCTTGCAGCTGCACCCAGGAGTCATGCACGCTGGGGCAACCCCTTTCTGCTGTCTGTGTCCTACTCCCAGGTTGGAGTGTATCCATAACTGATTTTAATATCTTTCTATTGATCAGTTGTTTTCCATTTTTGTGGTATTAGGAACAGCGCTGCAGTGAACATCATCGTACATATATTTTTGGTGCCCATGGATAATTATTTATGAAGTTAGATTACTGGATGAGGAATTGTGGGGTCAATCTAAAATTTTCTTGGTTGGTACAGCCAGACTGCCTCCACAAAAGCTCCCACCAGCCATGTCTAAGCATGGTGCTTTATGTTTCTATTAATGTCCTCCCAGAGTATGTTAGATTCTCCCCCTCCCCCCAGCTTCTTTATGCCCTCGACTCTAGGGACTTGTGGTCAATTAAGATTCCCAGATCATTTTAGCATGTACTAATGTTTGTGACAGCATCTGGCACAGAGAGGGCCTGACCAATAAAGACACTCGGCACCTGCAGCTTCCTGTCCACACACTAATCACCAATTTGTGAGATGGGGAAGAAGGAAAGAGAATAGAGATGATAGAGATGGAGGTGCTTTGAGCTGGGAGGGAGCTGGGAGCAGAGCAGCCCAGCATTTGGCGTCCCATCAAGATCCCCATTCTGTCTCCTGGACCAGTAACCCTACGTTCAGCAGAACTAGGGCTTAAGCAGGACTGTCATCCCCAGACTGACACAGATCTCCTGGTTGCACACAGACAACACCATCAGAGGAGCCAGGTGGGCCCCAGATGCTAACGCCCCAGGCTCCATGTGTGGATGGCTTCGAGGAGCCAGGAGAGCGGCAGCGGGCCCTCAGTGCGGTCAGCGTCCTCACCAGCGCCCTGGAAGGTCAGTCCACCCAGGTGTTGTCCAACCACGCCCTGCAGCTGGTCTACCAGATGTCGTAGTTTCTTAGTGCTGCTATGACAGAAATACCACAAGTGAGTGACTTCCATGAACAGAAGTCCATTTTCTCACAGTTCAGGAAGCTAGAAGTCTGAAATCAGGAAGGCTCTCTCTCTCTCTCTCTCTCTCTCTCTCTCTCTCTCTTTCAACTTCCTCAGTGCCTTAGTAATTTCCTCATGAATCAGTCTTTCCCCATTTGTGTTTGCATGCATCTTCATCTCATCTGCTCTTTTTATATCTCAAAAGTGATTAAGTTTAGGATGCACCTTCCCAGTGTCTCTTAAATAGACAGGCCCTCTTGAACATATAGGAAATCTTATCCCCAAATTTGCTTACTCTCACAGTTGTGTTGTTGTTAGGTGCCCTCGAGTCGAGTTCCAACTCGTAGCTACCCAATGCATGAAACACTGTCTGGTCCTGCACCATCCTCACGATCGTTGTTAGGTCTGAGCCCAGTGACTGTGTCAGTCCAGCTCCTTGAAGGTCGTACTCTTTTTTGCTGACCTTCTACTTTTCTAAGTGTAATGCTCTTCTCCAAGGAGCTCTGGTAGCGTAGTAGTTACAAATCGGTCTGCGAACCGCAAGGTCAGCAGTTCGAAACTACCAGCTGCTCTGCGGGAGAAAGATGAGGCGGTCTGTTCCCATAAAGATTTACAGCCTCGGAAACCCTGTACAGAGTCGCTATGAGTCAGAACCAACTCGACGGCACTTAACAACAACAACAACAATGCTCTTCTCCAGGGACCTACACCTTTTGAAGACAGCTCCAAAGTACATGAGACCAAGTCTCACCATCCTCGCTTAGGGATTAGGACTTACAACACATATTTTTGAGGTCACAATTCAATCCATAACACTTGGATGTTCCCATCTGCCTTGACCTGCCTAAGCTATCGCCACAACTCTCCCAGCCTTTTCTGTGTTGTGTACCCTGTGTCCTGTTCGACCCCAGGTATCTTTTCACCTGTTTGGGCTTGTTCTTTCCAAGGCATCCTCATGTCTGTGTCTCTTTTAAACATTCCCACATCTGTCCTGACATGTCTATCAATACCATCCCATCCTCTCCTAAGCATCCCATGCCTGCTTTAGGCTATTCCCAGCCTTTTCTAGAGCTGTCCTGGACTGTTGCAGGTGCCCCGCATCTGTCTAGCCATTCCCACCATAGGCAACCCCACATCATTTTCAGGCTGAATTTGGAGTTTCCTGCACTTATTTCCCGCTCTACCATACATACATCTTCCCCGGTCTGTCCATGCATTCCCCATCCATCCTGACACATCCCAAATGTCCATACTGGTTCCTCCCTGGGTGTCTTATATCTGATCTGTATGTCCCAAATGTCATATCATTCTTTTCAACAATTTTACATGTATCCCTTCCCGATAGGAGTATCCCCATGTCTGTGTAGGACTCATGCTTTAAGCAAGCCCATACCTGGCCTGATGTAGCCTGTCCTATATTCCCAAATCTATCCTGGTCTCCTAGGCCTGTGTCCCTCTCTTCTCATATTTCCAGGGTAAGAACAACTTCTCTGCCCCTTATCCTTCTCTGCCCCTCTTGCCATCTTCCTGTCATATAGCCACCCTGTCATCTCCCCGAGAAAGTCTTAGCTCTTTTCTGGAACATCATCAGTTACATATTGAGTCAGCCAACTGAAACAAACCAACTCCCTGGCTGTTCTCCAGAGCTGGAGGAGTCTCACCGCAAGTGCCCACCATGCTGGAACCGCTTTGCCCAGCGCTACATGATCTGGGAGTGCTGCCCACTATGGATGTCCATCAAGCAGGGAGTGAAGTTCATGGTCATGGACCCATTCGCTGACCTCACTATCACCATCTGCATCGTGCTCAACACACTCTTCATGGCCTTGGAACACTACAACATGACAACTGAATTCGAGGAGATGTTGCAGGTCGGGAACCTGGTAAGGACCAATGACAGCTGATGTGAAAATCAGTATCCCCCAGTGGGAGGGGCTCTTGGCCAACTGATAAAGTCTTTATGGGTAAGAGGGAAAGAATTCTAAGCACAAAGGGATATTATGAGGGTGGGAGTCAGCATGGAAGACATCTTGGAAGAGAGAGGCTCAGAGGTGACTTTTAAGTAAGAAGCTGAGAGATACGGATTGATGGTAAAAATTGCGGATAAAGGTTTATGAAGATGCTGAGAGTACGGAAAACAAAAGTTAAATGGGTGATCTGGAAACGTGAGTGTTTGCAATGGGTAGATGGAGGAGAAGAGTGAATGCTGAAAGAGGCAGGTTTTTTTTATTAACTGAGATTACAAAGGTGCTCACCAATGTTTGCTGGCTGGAAGGAAAAATGTATGATCTTGCATGGATGGTTGGTTGAATGGATGGATAGCTGGGTATAGTGAGTAAATCAGATAGAACTAGATTTGAATTCTGACTCAGCTCTTACTATGTGACCTCCAGCAAATTACAAAGTAATTGGCACAATGAGTATTTGTTAAATTTAATAAATGTAAAATTATTATGACAGTATCAGCCTCATAGGAAACTAATGAGGACTGAATCAGATAATATCTGTAATGTGCTTGGCTCAGAGTTTGATAAACCATAATGATAGCTATGGTTATTGTTTTCTTTGTTGTTATTAAAAAGACTAAACCTGGAAGTCAGAATATCTACGTTTTAATGTTAATTTTGTTCTTAAGATCAAATCAAATCCTGCCTCTTTGCTATGGGGAAACCAAGGCCCAGAGAGGAGGAGGAGGATACAGTGGTGACAGAGATGGCCCCCCAGGGTAGGGAGGGCTGTCAGCCTTGTCCAGGCAAACACACAATCAGCACTTCTACAAGGGATCCTAGGTCAGGGTTTGCAAGAGCTCACTGACCTTACTAAGGAGCCCTGGGTTACTGCTGGGATATCTAGCCACCTGATTTGGGCTCACTAACTGCAGACCCAGCCGAATTACGGACCCAGCTGCTCAGGTACCCCCACAGACAGACAAGTCTCCCACACTGTGGAGTACGAGGACTTTTTCTTCTCTTGTTCCTTTCCAACCTAGGACTAGAGAGTTTTCTGCAACATCTGTTGAAACTTTTTCACAAATAGAGTTCAGTTTGCTATAATCCTACTCCCCCACGCCCCATTCTTGTATATTCAAACAGAACGGATAGCTGATTTTCAACCTATAGGAGTCTCAAAGCACAGTTGTGCCTGGCATGTATTGGTGGTCTGCAGGTGGTCGTTGTGTAGGGTGGGTTTCAGTGGAATACAGTTTTCTTGGACTGTGACTGTTGAGTTGGACTGAGCAGCAAGTGAAGTGTGATGAAGAGCTCTGGTGGCTTCAGTGGATCGTTACGTGGTGATTGAATTTGCAGACATATTACTCTTGTGGTTCCATTATTGGTAATAGGTCATGTAGCTGTGTTATAGCTATATCTTGTTCTGTTTGGATAGCTTTATTGCTAGTACGTAAAATTGTTATTGTCTTGCATTTCATATATTCTAGGTGGTTTAAATATTTCGCTGTAAAAGAAAAGGAAATCATAAAAATATGCATGCTTAACTAATGTTGATATAAGCATGTCATTAAACCTGAGGGGGCTTTAAAAAGTTCATGAAAAAATGGAATTAAAAGATAATGGAATTTTTCCACAAACATTTTGAAGCTTCTGCATACAAATTCCAGAAGGGATTGCTAGATCTGACTGACGTTTAGCCCATTAGATAAACAGAGATGAAAGGCAAACAAGTCGTCTGTTTCTAGCAATATTGTGAACAAGAAAACCGAGAAAGTTTCCTAATATGAAACAGTTAAAAATGACACGCAAAATACAGCAAATGTTCTTAGAAATGCAAGCTAGCCTCTCATGAATGTAAGAGAAACTCCCAAGGGTCCAAAACACAGGAGTTAAAAAACATAGTGGTACATATATAAAAATATATAATTGTCCTGGGGTGGGAGAGGAATTACTGTGAGGGCCGAAGAAGTAGGTTGCTAATTGTAATGTGGGGACTTCGTTTTAAAATGAATCACCCAGCCTTGAGACAATGTGAGGCAGGAGTTGGAACTGAGTGGCCCCAAAAGGACATGACCAAACTTTCAGTAAGATGGTGAGCCACAGACTGACATGGAGAAATGACACAGAAGTAAACTTTCTGTCTCAGCCCAGGTTGCAGAGGGGTTAAAAATACCCTCTGGAGGTTCCTAGGCTCTACAACAGCTTCACTAGAACCCAGAAGGTAGTACAATAACTTCAAAGTCCTGAGAGAAAATATGTAATTAAGGATTTGGCCTTACACACATTTGGAGTTCACATTTATACTTCAATGATCTTGGAACTCATGCTCACAAAAATTAACACGTAAAATGATCCTAGGATGATATCTTGAGGACCCTGAAAGAAAACTAAAACTTTTCTGAAAAGACATACTTTTACCAAATCAAACTGGATTCACCAAATTATACAACATGCAAGGAAATACTCCACCATAGAATGTGGCCTTAGGTGGAATCCTGAGCCCTACCCAGAACCTTACAAGGTGGGACACTCCCATTTGAAAAGACATGCAGACCAGCCCGGAAAGGTTCAAGGAACAGAAGATATTTATTGAAAGAACGACAAGCAGAAAAAAAGTATACTGTTTGTGAGAATATCAAGCAAACTGTTTGCCTTGGAGCCATCAAGGCAAGAAAAGTTAGCCCATCAGGGTAAACCCCCTTCTAAGTCTGCAACTCAAAGGGAACACATGAGCAGTCTGTGTGCTCGCTAGTGACTCCCCTGGAAGTAGAGAAAATGCAGCAATGAAGACATGGGTTGAGTTTGGCCATATTCCATAGACACCCGTTGACCTTGAGATGAGAGACAGGGAAGTGGAAGGGCTGGGTGGTCTGAAGTTTAGGGAGGCGTGTGAACTCTGGGGACTAGAGCTGAGAGTGAAGTGCCAAGCTAGTCTCAGGTGGTGGGAGGCATGCAAGAACTCCCAAACTTCAGGTAGTACCTATTTGACCTTGCTTGGATGGCTGGCTAGCTGACCAGAATTTGACCGATGAAGGGAAAGAAGTTTGATACAGGGAACAAGTGTAAATTGCTACAATTTGATGAACTGGACCTTTGCTCAAAATTCCAACCAAAAGGGAAGGATTCTTCCTATTAGTGATCAAGCTTGCCTCCTTAGTACAAGTTGATAAGGATGGGCAATTAGACTTCAGCTGTCAAAAATGGGGCACTATAAAGGCAAGAAGTGGCTGGCTTGCAAGCTTTCTTGAGTGTGCTTAGCATCAGAACAAGGGGGATAAGGTAAGTTTTCCTCTTTACCAGATGGATCTGGTGAAAGGGAATGGGGGAGGATGGGGATAGGATTTTATGATTCAATTGTGAATAATTGTTATCAGGACTAATTGTGACAGTCACAACTGTAAATGTAGAAGATGTTTAACTAAGAGTGGGGAGTAGTTAATCTTTCATTTCAGGAACAGAGGACCCTAGGACCAGCAAGAGGGAACAGCATGAGTAGGGTGTGGGATCCTACCCAGAAAAGCAGGGACAGCAGAGACCGTGACAGAGGCGATGGCATAGAGAGACAGAGCAGCTGAGGACTCTAGGCCCACAGACAGAGAAAGGCTGTGTGCCTGTGGGCAGGAGGCTAGCTTATAAAGTGTACCCTTTGGACATTTAAACAAATACATATTTTCTGTTTTGTATGTGTACATCAAAAAAAAAAAAGGGGGGGTGGGGAATAGAGGTTAATACTGTTGACTAATGGTCTATGGAGGGGATTGTAATCATTTGCAGTAAAACAAAATATGACTTATTGAATGTAAAACTGATAATCTTCCCTGTAAGCTTTCACCCAATTCACAATAAAAACTTTAAAAAAAGAAATACTGTATCATGAGCAAGAATCAACACACACAATCAGACTTATCTCTGTAAGAATGTCACATAACAGAGCTGTCACTAGAGATGCTAAAATATGAATATTTGCAATAATAAAAGATGTAAAGGAAGAAACTCCAAGTATTCTTTTTAAGAAAAGATAGCTTTATGCCCAGGAGACATCAAGGCAAGTGCTCAGGTCCCCTCAGGGTAAACCTCCTTCCAAGGCTAAGACTCAAGGGAAATACACTGGTGATACCGTTGGTCACCGATAAGGGGAATTGAGGGAAAAACAGCAATGAATCTGTGAGCTAAGTCCACATTCAATAGACTCCTATAAACCCGGGTAGAGACCTGGTTGGCCAGCATTGTGGCAAGACCTGGGGACTCCTGGGCCCAGAGTCAGTGACAGCCACAGTAGACTAGAGTGGAGCATGAAGCATCCAGCTGTTAAGAAGTGAAGGGATGTGCACAAGAACATCACACTTGCAGATAATACCCATTTGACCTGTCTTCAATGGCTGGAAGATCAAAACTCAACTAGAAGAAGAAGAAAAAAAGACTAATCTGATATAATTTCATGAACTTGGCCTACACCTATAGATGCAGTAGCTCAAAAGAGGGAACAGATCTTTACAGCAAGGATCATTCCCACCCCCTCCATACACAGAGTAGACAGGGATGCACAACTTGGACATTGGCTACCCAAAATGGGGGTGTGGGAGGCTACAAAGGCAAGAAGTGACTGACTTACAAACTTTCAAGAGGTAGCCTAGATCCAGAGGGCGTGGAGGAAGGTAGAATCTTCACTGAGTAGTATCCAGTCTGTCTGGGCAGGGCTGATGAAAGGCGATGGGGATAGAACTCTTGTGATACAATAGTGAATAATTGCTATCAGGACTGACTGTGACGGTTGGAAATGTAAAGGTAGACATTTTGTAGCAAGGAGGGGAGTGATTAACTTTTCAGTCTAGGAGTGGAGGTCCCTGTGACCATCAAGGGAGAAGAGCGGAGTGTGGGACCCTACCCTGAGAAGCATTGACACCAGAGATGCAAGAAGAGATGGTGATATGGAG